CTACAGATTGTGAAACTTTCAAGTTCCTACTTGCCTTATACTGAAAGTTAAGAATCTTTCAAGCCGCGGGTGCAGTTGCGTGAATATTTTCATTTTCAAGTTAATATTTACCAAGTCACTAAAAGTCTGTATATTGGACGATTTGCATAAAAATTTCAGCACTTTCACATACACTTGTTGGCTTCAAAGTGTGAAATTTGCATTAGATAGGCAGTTACGAGTTTTTGAAGATGAGAGTGCAATTGTGTGAAAACGTTTATGTTTAAGTCAAACATTTACTCAATCTGGAAAATTTAGGATTTAGACTCAGTTCAACAAAATGTTGTAATTTTGAATATCAGGGCTTTCTCAAGATCACGAAAAAATCAAGTTGTTGTTTTCTTTCGATTAGAAGTCAGCAATTTTCATCAATCATAGCAGTCATTTTGTGTATGGCAATCATATAAAATAAGTGTTGTAAGACTTTTTTGACCGAAAAAATATAAGTACATATAAAATACAATTATGCAGCTACTATACGGTTCATACAAAGTTTTCATCCGGTGCGTCAATGCGTTAATTAATGATTTCATAATTAATTAAAATGCTTTTCAACTCGAAAAGTTCCTCAAATCCTCCTTGAAATCTTTCAGATGCCCTCGAATCATAACTGTATATTAGGACGGGATCCAATATTTCCAATGCGCCTGGTTTAGGTGCCATAATCCGGTTTCACAGCTCAAAGAAACTGAATTTATTTAAAGTGGAAGATTTTCAGTCTTTATCTATGGTGGAAGGACTGTGGCCAAAAGTGTCATACTGTTACGCATCCGGTGTATTTCAGCACCAAAACCGGTTTTATTTAAAAGGGAAATTTAAGCCGGTTTCGATGGGTTCATTAATTATTTTGTACGTACAATAACAAATTGTCTGAAACAGTATTGGCACTCAAGATGACATTGTTTGCCAAATTTCGGGTTAAAAATGAGCTGTGGCAATTCGAGCCTAGTTTTTCACGCAGCCACTGGATTAAATCCGGTCTTTATGACTTCTTTTATTGATCGAAAGCAGACGCTCATTCTTAGATTAAACGCATAAAGATCAATTAGGATCGTCAAGCTACCCATAAAAAGCTTTCAATTTTAATGCGACGAAAACCTTTTCTTTCAATTTTTAATTTAAAGAATTGATCTCTCTTTTAATAATGGAGATTTTTAAATATTTCATGGAGCATTATGTTGGGCGAAGTAATTTGGGGCGAAGTAATTTGGCCATGTCGACAGTTTGAGCTCTTGGTAGAAATAACTGGGACTGGGAACTACCTACATCCCAGAAAAGTCCACCTCCTGACTAAATAATTAACGAACATTTTTACCTGTTAGGTGTTGCGAATTTTTCGTTGTCAAACGGGGACTGAAACGACCCATTTTTCCCGTCGCTGATATTTCGAAGACAAATCTTGTTAAAAGTTTAATTCTTTTGCCCAACTCCTGCCTTGAATAATGGGGCATTTGCTTTGAATTTGTAGCCTGGGGATAAACTAATTTTCAGTCCTGGAATATTAAACGGCCGGCAGTGGCAAGTTCGGTTGTTTATAAGTGAGACAAATTCGCGTTAATATATCGAGGCGATTATGGAAGAATCAACTTTGTGGGCTCAAACATTCCTAGGCAAATTACCAGCATTTAGGACATGGACTTGTACAAAATTTATGAGCTTTTCAGGTATGAGACGTATCATATTTGTTTAACACGGCAGGGCAGAAATTGTAGGCTAGCGTAGCAATAAGCCATGGCTTTATCCCATTGTTAAACCGTTCCATTGAAATGCTAAGCTGGTTCAGGAAACCAAGGAATTCGAAAGTAGATCTGTTTACATGTTAATTTGGTTCAGTGCAACCGTATCTAACTATACCCAATCGTTGGGTTGCAAACAAAAGTATAAAAGCTCCCTCAAGGGCTTGAGAAATTTCGTAAAAAAGCAGTAATGTTTCATTATTGATTGTTCACTTTCTAAAAAGGTCATTTAGTTCTCTTTGTAATGAAGTGAAAATGAGCAAAAACCGGACGGAAAACAAGAAATTTTGGCATAATCCTGCACCTAAATGTCTGATGTTAAAATTTCGCCTTTCGGGTCAAAACTAGTCGAATTTACTCAATTTTTATTTATTTTACAACTCATGTTCTTATGACTGAATCGAATTTTCAATTCTCTATCCAACGATGCCACAACGAATTCTGTTTCTCAAATGGTTCTTGAGAAACGTCGAAAAAAGCAGCGTCATGTTTGAGTCGATTATACATCTGAAAAAAACCACGCAAATCGAAAACTTCTTGAAATCAAGACTTTTTTGAGAAGACTGCCAACATTTTCTGATAGATGAACTACTTTCTAAAAAGGCCATTTAGTTCTCTCTGGAATGATGTGAAATTGAGCATTCTTGCTCATTCACAAGTCGGAAAACATGAAATTTTGGCAGAATTTTGCACCTAAGTGTCTAATATGCAAATTTCGCTTTCTGGGTCAAAACTACTCGAATTTTCTCACTCAAGTTCTTATGACTGAATCGAATTTGCAATTCTCTATCCAACGATGCCACAACGAATTCTGTTTCTCAAATGGTTCTTGAGAAACGACGAAAAAAGCAGCGTCATGTTTGAGTCGATTTTGTATCTGAAAAAAACCACGCAAATCGAAAACTTCTTGAAATCAATACTTTTTTGAAAAAACTGCCAACATTTCTTGATAGATGGAGGACTTTCTAAAAAGGCCATTTAGTTCTCTCTGGAATGATGTGAAATTGAGCGTTCTTGCTCATTCACAAGACGAAAACCATGAAATATTGGCATAATCTTGCACCTAAGTGTCTAATATGCAAATTTCGCTTTCTGGGTCAAAATTACTACAATTTCCTCACTCAAGTTCTTATGACTGAAT